CATTTTGTGATAGCTGAACAATCGCATGTTGTTGGCCCTTTCCTTCAAACCTCGGAAAAAAGACATGTAACCCAGAAGTTCCGACTGATAGGCAAATATAAGTTATACCCAATTTTCACAACCCGAGTTATGTTTTAAAATAAATAAACATGTTCGTATTCGACGAATAATTTGCCATTATCTTGCATATGGTTATGAAATTGTTTGTGGTTTGCACTATTTTGCTGAATCGGTTGTTTTCAAACTGTTTTCTGAAAACCTTAATGAACTTGTTAATATAACAATACAACAGTTTCCATACATAAAATAAAATAACCGAACGCACAGACAATGAAAATTTTAAATAGATATAAACAAAATAAATTTTAAAGAATATAAAAAAGAGAAATCAACTCAAATGAAAATGGAAAAACGTGAAACAAACACAATGGCATATTTTGTTCGAAATAGTATGTTTTATTCAAAGAAAAAGAGATCAAAGAGGTAAGAAAATCTCTGTGAAAATGATCATAACATGTATATTCATCCTGATCAAGAAAGCAGTCTGAAATGTTTTTCCAGACGGAAATCTTGTCTCTCATACAAGGTTCGCAAAAGAAACAGGACAATTAAAATAGACAATCTATTGACTGGTGAGTGATAAAAAATAAGCCGCCTTGCTCATGTATTTTATATCCAAAACAACGTTTATATTTTAGGATATAATTTCAATAAATCGTATTTTTTGTAACTTCATGATCACGTCTGAAGTGTTCAAATGGCTAGCTAAACTGGTGGCCGAATACCATAAATACTCTTTAACCGAGCAATAGGTGGACCTCTATCCACCACCGCCCCCCGGGCGTGACCGTCGCGGAGAAGGCACACGGCAGGTCAATGTCAAGTCGTCTCAATTACAGACGACTGGTTGTTCTGTCGTGAATATCTCGGAAGGGTGACACCAAAAGACCCGTTTTATGTTTGATGCCTGTTCTCTGCCGTCACGGAACATGACAGTATTGTCTTTCCTCCACCAATGAACGAAGAACAGGTTAAGGAAGATCGGCATGAAAAAGACATCCCCGATGAGACTTCTGGAGTGAACCGGCATGGCCGCTGAGATCTCGTACATATGGAATGTCCAGCTAAAATAAAACTAAAACCACACATTAGTTGGACATCTCGGCAAACTCATTCCCTTTAATGCAGTTTAATTATCGTTTTACTAGCCTATAGTATTTTGATGCAAGTAATTTGACAAATATGAAGGTGATTAGCATCTAATAGTACCTCGAATCACCTAAAACATTACAAAACATATATTTACTCCTTTTTAAAGCAGAGGCATAATGTGCCTTAACAATATGTAATACTTCTATTTATGCTGATGAAAAACGAATGTGCATATTTTATTTTTGTCAGACTAATTCATACATAAAGTATAAAAACAGTTGATAACAAATTAACTTAAAAAGACATTAATTTCATTTTTCTTGATAAGCTTGAGCAAAATTTGAACATTTATATATTTAACTTACCAAAACTGTTTATTGTAAATGGCGATTGGCCAATCATGGATGATGACAAATGTTTTGAGTAAAGTTTTTTTTTTTAAAAACTTTGTGACATAATTATAAAATACTGCAGTCTAAAGGACATTTCCGCGAGGTACGTTGGATATTCATTTTTGTTAGTTGAATATAGAATTCAGAACAATTATGACAAACTTAACATTTATGTTTGGTTTAAACATATATACTTAACAAGTTCTTGCAACTTATATTAATCACTTTCGAGTCCACTTCCTGGAACCAACTGGTACTGGTGCATATAAAGAATCATGGTTGTGAACAGATCAGGGCTCGAACCAATGATCCATGGGTAGAGAAGCAGACATATTAACCAATAGGCCACCGCTCCCCATTATGGAATAACTGCACCCAGTATGAGAAAGATATTTTAGAAAAAATGTATAAGGAAGCCGCGATGATTGCAATTAAGTGTTTTAACAAGATCAATGTCCATTTAAAAACTATTAAAGAAATAGAGTTTGAATCTTTGGCAGACAAAAGACAAGAACAATTCAAAGAATAGTGTTAGTATAAAAACAAACATAATGTATTGCCACAGATATTTTCCCCTTTAGTAGAAAATGTTATTGAATATCATAATACATGTAATAGTTTAAGAAATAGCATCAACGTTCTATGTTACTGTGGCAAGGAGGACCGAACTTTATTCCGTCATCAATACAGTTTTTTAATGAATTACCTATAGATATCAAACAATCAGACACTTAAGGAAATTTTAAAAGAAAACTCAAATAATTTATAAACTTCCCATTGGTGCGTCTTTCTTTATATAAAGGATGTCAGAGGGTTCACAGTGCACCATACACATATTAGGAATAATATTTTCAAGTTTAAATTCTGACTTATATAAAAATAATATTATACAAAACCCACCTTGTGAATGCGGTGCTTTGATAAAAACGTTGAAGATTTTTTATGTCAATGTCAAAAATATAGTCTTCAAAGGATAGGTCTTTTTAGAAAATACTTGAAAACACCAAAGTCTCAATACACAGAAGTTACTTTAAATGATTCTCTAAACATGCCTTTATTTCATCATTTTCATCATTTCATTAAAGAAACGGTAATGTTTGGATAGTTTTAAAACATTTGATTTTCTTTTTCATTTTGTTTCTCTGACTTTATACAAATTGTTGAGACGGTTGTCATTTGTCAAAATCCAAAACAAAAACTGCTGTTGGGGATAGGCAGTTTTAGGTTGACTGGTTTGCAACGTATTACAAAGCAAAATTGCCGAAATTCTTCTCTAGGTTCTGGTGTAGATGCTTTCACAGAATATTGGGATAATAAGTTTGGTTTATTTGTGATCCCGATTGTTATTATTCACAGAGTAATTAACAAAGTGGCTGTTAATAAAGCTCGAGGGGTCTTAGATATCCCTTGCTAGAAATCTGCTATTTTTTTGACCTTTCGTCATTTTAGGCACGATGTTGTCGATTGGTTAGATTTGTCAACAGATGAGGACATTTTTGGCAATTTAACATGTAAGCGCTTAATACGATATTACACAAGGGAACTAATTAGTCCTGATAACAAGAAGTAATAATAAGGAGAGTATTATCCCTTTAGCAGTATTGCTGCCGTATGGCTATTATAGTTTGCATTGCCAGACAGACTTGCTCATAGCACTAACTGAGGTATCTCACATAAGACGGTATCGTCTTCAGATGTTGTTTAGCATGTAAATGTGTTTATTGGTTGCGCTATATTGTGTATTTTGTATACATTTGATTTTTCCAGATTCATGCGAGATGCTATTGAAGAATTACCAGACGTTTTGGCAGAGAAAGTGCACCTACTCCCAGACCTGTTCCGAAGTCACGCGCATATGTAATACGGACAAAAAGTATAGTAGTGCGTTTTTGCGTTTTCATAAATGGGCTATGAGCAGTTGGTTGGGTAGTAGGGACACTTCACCTGCTAAAACCCTTACGGTTGTTTTATACTTGGCATGTTTAATTCAAACGACTAAAACTCTCAGTCATGTTATTGCTGCCTTCTATGCAATAAAATGGTATCATGAACAGTCTGATTTAAGATCACCAACATGTGCCTTTAGATGTTGGCATGTTAACCAGTGTTTTCAACAGATTGTAGGTAGCTAATAATATTAAAAGTTAGCGCATTCCTTGTGCCTTTTGGTCGCTTTTTCTAGATTTTTGAGAGGTTCGGCTCTTCTAAATATTCGTATTTCAGATTTGGGTTTGTGACAGTTCTTACATGGCTATATTCATAGAAGGTAGCAAAACAGATAAATATAGCGATGATGCTTGGGTAGTGATAGCAAAAACAAGGACACAGTTATATCCAGTTGACATATTAGAAAGGTGGTAAATTGGGGTAATTTGTCTGCTGATGATTACCTATTTTGTAACATTTGTTGTTCCAATAATGGATATCAAGTAAGAAAAGCAAACAAAAATTTGTCGTATACAAATCTAAGGAATCTGTCCTTGAGGTTTTGAAGCCACATCTTCCTGATGTGAAAAGATACTGTCTTCATTCTTTGAGATCTGGAGGAGCTACTTTTGCCGCAGATAAAGGTGTGAAGGACGGGATTTTCAAATGCCACGGCCGTTGGTGATTTGAAAGTGCAAAAGATTGTGACATAAAAGATAATGTTAATGAGCGTATGTTAGTGTCAAACAGTTAAGGGTTATGAGACAAAACAGTTACAGAACAGTTTTTCAGTGTTAAATTTATTATGTGATTATAAGTATGCAATTGAAATCAACCAGAAATATTAATGTTACCGATCTTTTCATGCAGTTGACTGTTCCATACGCTTAAACTCAAATACAGTATATGTATTTCTATTTGAAATTTTGTTGTTTGTAATTTTTCTTGCAAAAAGTCAAGGTCTGACGACAAAGTCTATTTGTCTTTCTGATACCGTCCTTAAAAAGGTTACCACTATAAGTGTAGTAATAACTTAAGATCATGAATAGATTGGCACATGAGGAATGTTGTTATAACTTTTGGCCCAAACTTTTTGTATATTTATATTCATGTATAACTGAGTATAGATATTGTTATAAAATATCATTAAACTAATATGAATAATGAATTAATGAGTTCACAATACTTGCAAGGGTGCAATCAAAACCGTGTTTTATGTTTGCTGTAGGTGTCACGTTGACACGTTGTTGTCGTATTTTAACTACGAGAGCTAAGGGTATTTCTAATGATTTTGAACTATTTGTTGTTGAAAACGTGATGCAAAACGATATTTTTCCCATTACCAAAAGCGATTGGCTATAAAAATTATTCAAAGAAAAAAAGGAATGTCGAACCGCAAAATCTTAATTATTCACAGGTTCCTGACAGACAGTTACGCACTTGTAATTAACGGAAAAACATGAACATATGTATTTGTAAATATAGAAAGTTATCTGAATAATGTATGAGCTAAAATTTAACGCTCCATCCTCGTGTTCGATGTGGTATTAAAACTATTGAAAGGCGTATATTTCTTATATAAATTTGTGCATGTAATGATTTTCAAATATATAGAACTTTCACTTGTTCACTTATTTCGTACGAAATGAATTTACCTGTGTTTCTAACACTATTTATTAGTGTTTCGCAAGTGATGACATTGCCTGTTGGCTTATCAGACCAAATATACATAAAACCAGAAGGTATGTACTTATTGTCACTTTTTATATGATTATGTTTAAGTGAAATCCTTCTACCATTTTCTTAAATAATCAGAGACTTGTTTTATATTCTTTTGTATTAAGTGATTGGTCCGTAATGGAAACTATGTAAGCCCATAAATATTAATGTTAATATTAGTGTTTAATATCGTTTGTGAACGAAACACGGGGAAAAAGTATATAATTTATTATATAATTATGTTACTTTGAAATCTGTATCAACATTTCTCTTTTATAAGAATATCCAAACGATATATTGTTGTTGTTTTTATCAATTTTTGTAATTATTATTAAAAATATGGTAATTGAAGAAAAATAATCAATCTATAATGATAGCTTGTGAACAAATTATGGAGTATACGAGAATAAGTATATTGCAAATGATTCTCTATCTAGTTTACTTTAGTTGGCACGAGATTTTTTTTCTTTTCGTAATTTATTGTTATGTAACATGTTTTCAGGAAGCCCTAGAAGATTTGAAGATTGGACAGAATCTAGAGGTATTTCAGGACAGGAATTAGTTTTCATTGGTCCCAATGATGTAGATGACGGCATAGAGATGAATTCATACCGTGGAAACGGGTATGGCCTATTTAGAAGGAATCGAAGGAATGGTGGTCAATTATTGGCAAAGTGTCGACAACAGAAGCCTTTCCTTTCAGCACTTATTTGCAGACATTTGGTCCAAAATTGATGAGAAAACAAAACAGATCGAAACGTTTGTTAATTTAGGACATAATTATATTATCAAATAAAGTTTGAATTTGATGAAATATTTTATTTTTATTTGATTAAAATGAATTGGTCCGTATTAATGAAAGTCTGTTATTTGTTGATAGTTTTTAGTATCGTATGTGACAGCAAACGTATGAAGAATTACATACGGATGTTGTTGAAAAGTATGTGAGATACTAGATTCTATAAAATATATCGATATAATTAAAGCAGAGAATAAATTGTTCCAGAACAAAGAAATCATCACTTTATCACACAAAATCATTTAAAACTTCTGTGTTGCAGCTGTGACAGCTGTAAAAAGTTGCAGCGTACTTCACTCCAGTATTGTTATATTTTCCTGGACCTTCAAGATCATTGATGCCAGCACTATTAAGTGTTGAGAATTGAGTACCGCTGAAGCCGGTTCTAGGGGTCGTGAGGGATTTTGCACCTTTTCGTTATCCCTCATTATATTGATGACACATTGATAACTTACCTGTAATTTTAGTAAAAAAAAATTACACTTAAGCATAACAAAGGTCACACAGACATGATGCATCACTTCATAGCGCAATTCAACAACGCGTAATTAGGGCACAGATACTTGGGGTGTGGAGCTCAAAATTCCTTTCAAATCCAAATAAAATGTATATTTGTCAATTCCAGCACATGTACTGGTCATATATATCGAAAAATAATAATACATGTATAAGCTTTTTTGATAAAATTCCATATTTTGACGTCTATAATATTATAGAGGTTGAAATATGATATATTTTTTCAAAACGGCTTATATTAATTTTTTATATACAAAATGTAAATATGATCAGTACATGTGCTGTGATTGACAAATATACATTTTATTTGTATTTTAAAGGTGTTTTGAGCTCAACATCCAAAGTGTCTGTGAGTTAGGTGCTAAGAACAAGCACATTGTCTGTTGATGATTCACACAAATCACCACTTTCCTAATTTATCATACGGCAATTGACTCGATAACAATAATTTTATATAAATACATGATTTACATGTAAATTAATACTTCAACATAAGCAATGACTCATATTTTATACTAAACTTCTGTCTCTGCATTTTCACGACACATTCCGAAATAATTCTATTAAAACTCGAAAGTCATTAAAAGTCAATGTTTGACGAATTTTGCAAAACGACCAAAGCTTTTAGTGAGGAGCTATTTTAAAATTAGAATACTTGTAGTTAGACTTACATAGAAAAAATAACATTTATACATCATTTGAACATGTTCAATTTTATATTGATTCAATTTTTTTTAAACGACCATTTTCTTTTCTTTCGTTAATAGAGCCAAACATAAACATTTGATATGTAAATTAAGATGTTTTATTTTGTATGGATGCTATATAAATATATGTGCTTAGTTAGATGTGTAGCACTTCATAAGATGTTTTAATTTGTTGTTGTTGTTGAATCAACTTTGGCCGCACACTATGGAACAGGGAACCAATATGAGACATTTCTGAAAATGCCGTTTTACTCGGGACTCCTGTATGATTAATTAAAACAAGCTCCTAACTAACTTTGAAACAGCACGCTTTAATATTATATAAAATCAATCTTAGTCTTTCTGAGTTATTAATGTTTTCAGTGAGTTTTGATTATAATGTCCCAGTGCGTACTAGATATTGTATAAATATCATTCAACCGGGACGTTTTAGAACCATGACATAGTTAATCACGTACAATTATGAAAATCGTAATTTAAGTAACTTTTATATATACCGATCTCATCCACAGACGCTTGGGGGTCAGATCCTGCCCCCCCCCCCCCCCAACGTGATACGCCCCTGTAAACACTCTACCAAAACTATTTTAATATTTAAACACGAATGGGACATCTATTACAACGATAAAAATGGTTTTCAAACAATTTTTACATATATGAAAAAATACCGTATACCATCATGCAAGTCTCAATAAATATTAAAATAGTTTTGGTAGAGTGTTTACAGGGGCGTATCACGTTTGGGGGCAGGATCTGACCCCCAATCGTCTGTGATCTCATCAATGTTTATTGATTTGTGAAGTGACAATTAGTGTGACTTGCATTAAAAAATATTAACATGTGTTATAAAATGAGTGTTATTTCACTTTCCTTAAAGATTTTGAAAAAAAATAACTATCTAAAATATATTTATATGTGACTTAAAGGATAAAATCAGGTAAACTGAACACAAAAAATGCATTATCACTAGGCCTGTTCTGACTATAGTGAAAAAGTGTAAAAACATGAATCCGAAATCTTGACGAGGTCGCCGACGCTTGGCAAGTAGGGGAGCTCTCAATATTCTCCCTATCGTAAAGATTAAAATGATGTGCATTATATAATCTCCAAACTGCCATCTATCCGAAATTTAAGTTTCATAAAAAATTGTAAAAGTACCTTTGAATAATCACAAATATTGTTATATTTGTCATATTTTAAGCCCATTTGTTACCATAGCAACCATGAATATTCTTCAACATAGGGAGAAAAGAAAAAGGCGTGCATAATCTCAAGACTACCATCTACCCATATATCAAGTTTCAATATAAAATATTTTCAGTACTTTTGCGTTATATCACGGGATCCAGATTTGTCGACGGACGGACTGACAGACGGACAGACCGATGGAGGGTAAACTATTTAAGTCCCCTCCGGTTAAACCGGTAGGGGACTAATAATATATCACAGTAAGGGAGTGAGTTTGCTTTAAATATACATGTAACTTACATTTATATAAAATCAACCAAAGTGCATACAATAGATTAAATAAATAAAACACTGAAAGCTCTAGTAAACACATATTTTCAAAAGGATGCCGAATTACCATATCAAAGGCACTCAATGCCTTAAAGGAAGGCAAAGTAGCAAGAAAATCATATGTAAGGGCCTGACGAAACAATTAAGGCAAGAGACGAAAAATTAGCCATTTTTAAGAATCGCCTATCTTAGGGCCTTCACTTGGCCCGTCAGATGCAATCGAAAGAGAATTCGTAGTGTCCAATTGTAAAGGGTTTCAAGAACACTAAGCATGCAGTATGTCTTGAAATAGTAGGGTCATAACCTCTTTTAAAGAAACGTTTTAATAAATATAGTGTTGGTAAAACAGCTGAAAAATTATCATGACCCAATATCTAACGATGTGCTCTAACACTATGCTCATAGAAACTCTATGCTGACCTCTGACACACTTGTTAATTCAATCCCATTTCCCCGCCCCTTTTTTAACATTTTAATATTCTTCTTTTATTCACTTTTCAAACAACTTTTTTGAACTTTCATGCGATTTTGACTCGAAGTTAGATGATGACAATAATGGTATTTTATTATTCGTTAATATTTATGCGAGCGCCTTAGCTACCCAGATCATAAAAAATGCCCGTATACGGAAGTAAATAGTCCCAGCGAAATGTGATATATTTTCAACAAATATCTGCGGGCTCTGTGCATTTTAGCCTTAGAATAAGGTAAGAGTCTGTTACTTTGTAAGGCTAGTGACGTCTGCTTGATGCTAGTTAAAGTTTAATAAACGTTAGTCGTCCGAAGATGTAGTTCGAACAGTTGACGAGTCGAGTTATCTAAACGAATCCGGGTCAGCTCGGCCCTAAAACATACTCGGCCCCCGAGTCAGCTCGGCCCTATTCCAACTCGGCACGGGTCAACTCGGCCCACTTTTAAAAATGGGTAAAATACATCAAAGGACTCCTATTGTCACGGGCTATTATTATCAATCAATGTGTATGTTAAGGATACCGATTAATTAGGTGATAATTATGATTGACTCATTCATTCAAATTTGATAAGTGACCACCTGCAATTTATTAGAAGCTTATGCTATTAAGTAAACATGTTTTTGTTTCATGTTTTTGAAAATTACTGTACAAACAAAATGCATCTAAGGAAACACATTTTTATTTTAATTATATCTATATTCACAGGCACAAGTACATATTTTATCTTCCCAGGTTCGATAATCGTGCCTGTGTCTATATTAATTTTATCGAATCTGCAAGACAAATAAATAACTTTTTTTCTAAATATACTTTATTTTGGCAGAGGTACAATGTATAATTACATAATAATAATAAGATATTTCTTATTATTCATTTACCTTAACAACATGCAAAGCAAAGTAAATACGTTATAGGCCTATATATTTTTGGAAAGTGGGCCGAGTTGACCCGTGCCGAATTGACCCGTGCCGAGTTGGTAGAGGGCCGAGTTGACTCTTTTCCATCTAAACAGCTAAAATTATTTATAGAGGATATTGAATGAGTGTAAGTTCATTACTGAATTTATTGCACGAGTTGAATAAAATTATATTATGCGAGCCTCTGGCGAGCATAATATTATTTTATTCAACGACTGCAATAAATTCAGTAATGAACTTACACGAATTTAATATTCTATTTATCACATACCCAAAATTAAGACCGTTTAAAGTGAAATTAGAGTCATTTTTCATTGACGCGTTTATATTATAACGCTAACATTTAGCGCGTCTTTACACTATGTTTGTGTAACGCTAATGATGTCACGTCAAAATATATGCACGGCCGTGCAATACCATATTTACGGAGTCGCAAAATCGGCACGGGTGTGTGATAAATAATTATATTAACCTGTCAAAAAGTTTGCTTCGTCGATATTTTTTGTCAATCAATTTTGACTTATTAATAATATTAAAAGGGAAAGCCTCAAAGCGAGCTCGATTTTCTTTTACTCTAAGATAGTTTAAAATAATCGATTGTTCATTTTTATTTTACATTTTCCGTTTTAAAATTGTCATTCGGTATTTTATACACTGCTTCCGTTTATTATGGTTCCCCCTTTCGATTATGGTTCCCATATAAGTGTGCAGGACACCAGTCTAGGCTTCTGTTTTCCAATCAGAGTACATCGGCTTTTATCGTTACCTTGTAATTCGAAAAGCTGCGATGTGTCCAATTCGGTACTTCGGACGAAAGTTTTCTAAACCATCACTTAGCAGGTACTCGCATTACAGTAAAGCTTGCTTTGCGAGCAGGCCCTTCGGGCCAGCTTGTCGAGCTCGCCATGAATAAGGTGTCAGGGTTCAGTACTGTTAAATATTTAAGGGGAGAGGATGTGTAAGCAGCCGAAAAGGCTAAGCTCAGTCGGTAGAGCAGTGTTAATGTATTCTGACAGTCTTGGATTCGAGTCCTGGTCGGGCTGCACTTCTTTCTCACCCTGTGTCATTTTGCGCCCAACGTGTCGTCAGACTGATAGAGCTCAGAGTTTAATTTACATTGCTCTGTAACTTAGTCCTAAAAATATGACGTCGCTTTGAGATATTTTTGCTTCTGTGCAAAGCAAAGTCATATCAAAATTACTCAAAAATCCATAGCACGTTCCACCAGAAAATCAGGCTGATCAAAAAAACAAGACAGCGTGTATTTACATTAATTTTGACCTTTTTATGAACAAAACTAAAAGATATATACCTTTGGACAAAAAGCGTAAACTGTCACATCAAAAAATCATGATTAAATCCGTTCATGTATTTAAATTATACAGCCGATAAACAGGCAGCCATACAGTGCATGAAATCTGATTGGCTAATTCAAATGCAAGCGTTTAACTGAGTCAGAAGATTCTAACAGACTATTTTTTTAACGAAATAATTGCCCATGCATCGTAAGCATGTTCGAATATATTTTTTCGTTCAAAAATTTGGAATCTATCTGTAAAGTACGTTACTTAACCAGTATGGCCAATAGACAAAAATAGATTGATGTTTATATTTTATTTTAAATTGATAAGTACATTGTTTGAGAGTTTTTATTTACGATTGAGCATGAAATTGAAAGAAAAAAAGATAAGCTTTTGAATAAAGCTTGAAAGACAAAATAATAGACATTTTTTAATTTTTTTATGATTCTATGCGTTGATGAGTCAAAACTATTAGACGTCAACAAAAACTATAACAAGGCCTGTAACCTCTAAATATTGACTACTCTGTAACTGTGAAATTCGAGAACGAATTTCAATATAGCTGAGAAGTATGTCATGGTTCAAAACTGTTCACTATTTAGGAGAGAGGATGTTGTAAGCTGCCAGATAGCTCGGCTGGTAGAGCCGCAGTAAGGAAATCCAAGGGTCCCGGGTTCGAGTCCTAGTCAGACAGCACATTTTTCTCACCCTGTAGCAAAGGCCAAGCCTCAAAGTGAGCTCTTTGTCAGAAATTAATATAAGCCATCGGCAGCTACACATTTTATGTTTTCAAAACACTTAAAAATTGCACACATTCACTTAAAACAATATTTTACATTTACCGTTTTAATATATGTATTCTAGGCTTAATGAGGGTCCATCCGCCATTTCAGGCACTGAGAGTACAGATCCTGGACATGTCACCATTCATGTCCTTAATGGCTTAAATGTTATTATCAACCAAAAGGTGACTTATAAATTTTGAATTCAGTATTTCACTGAATGATACTAAATATGTATGCAAGCTTGACTGACTGATAAGATTATGCAACTCAGACTGATCCCTGACACATATTTTCGGTGTTCATGATCGACATGCACGAGCATTCTTTACAGGCAAATTTGGAATTAAATTTTAGCCAAACGTCACCGTCTGTCAGTAGAATGACGAAAAAGTGTTTCTTAGGTCCCGGGTTCAAGTCCCAGTCAGACTGCTAATTTTTCTAAACCAGTGACACGCTGTTTGATATTCTTTTCATAATCTCATTGTCTTTATCACAGAAATATACATGTATATTGATATTATTTCAGTTGTTTGCTAGATGAAAATTCCTCTCTATCTCATAACCTGGATGAACATCTTGCATCTTGTATCTTCTAAGAAAGAAGAGTCGCCGAGCATCCAGAAGCTGAAAGCATCATGTAAAGACACTGCAACATGTCCTGTCTCCTTTCCCAAGGAGGATCTACAGGACCGGCTTACACCTATACAATACAAAGTTACACAGGAAAAGGGGACTGAAAGGTTTTTTATTTAACTTATTAACATGATTAAAAATAAAGTTTAATTTCTTTTACCATGCATTCATTCATTTCATTGGGTCAACAAGTTCTGTGTTTTGGAGAAAAAATGTTCTCATGGCAAATGCATATAAATGTTTAAGTGTTTGACTATCAAAGAATAAGTATAAGATACTTACAAAGAAAAAAGTATGAAATTGTTACCAAGGCAATTGCAGTTTATCAGAAATCCCATTAGCATAAACTTTTACATATCTATTGCTTGTATCGCTGCTTAAAATGTAACGCAATATTATCAGAATATTTTGGTTGTATCACAATACAGTATTATAATACCAACAATATAAATGTGTAATGGTCAAGTCACTGTCTCTTTAGCCAATATCCACTTTACCATAGTTCTGTTATACAAGTATTATTTAAACAGTTACAATGTAAATGAGACATTAGCAAAATGTACTGATCCCTAAACATTATATAACGATACTGTTTCATGATTCATTATATATCGAACCCAGTGGTTTTTCGCCTTCTATAACAGAGGCCTATATAAGGCCTCTAATTTTCTTTAAGATATGTGCAATGATAAGTTAAATCTTTAAAAGAAAAAATAGAAAAGTACTGGTCAGTGAGAAATCTTTTCAAGATATTTTTAAAAAAACTGAATTTTAGAATAGAAAATCAATGTTCATATCATTTATAACTTGAATTAATGCATACTGTTGCATCTTCATAATTTCTATTTGCCTCATATTTGACACATAATTATGTAATACTGTAATTAACAGGCCTTTCTCAGGACAATATGTGAATCATAAAGATGAAGGGTCGTATCGTTGTGTGGTGTGTGGAAATCGAATTTTCTCATCAGATACCAAATTCAACTCCCACTCGGGATGGCCTTCCTTCTCAGATGTCCTTGACAAAGAAAGTGTAACCCTGTCTGATGATACTTCACATGGTTTGTTTTATATTGTTTTATATGCTGTACTTCTTCTTTATACTAAATAAAACATCTGTTAGTTGCATTTTCTTTGGCAGATATTTCTTTCATTAAATTATATATTTTTTTGAATCCTTTCCATTTCTTTGAATATAATTTTCATTGTGCTCCTTTCCAGCTCAAAAGGAGGAAGTCTTGAAACCTCATGTTTGTTTTCCTCTCTTTTTTTCGAAGTCAATATGCTTGTTGGTCTTGTCTCCTCATTTGAAAAAAAGGGTTTGATACAATCGTGTTTGACCTGTATGTATTAATGTCATATACCTCTCTTCTCAGCTTCAACCTTTGTTTCTATCATAAATTCAAGCAGGCAAATACAGCTTAATTGAACTGGGCTGAAGTCTATACCCTGCTCCCTGCCCTGTTGGGTTTGTTATGGCAACAAAATGGCAAGGGATATGATTTTCTATGTCGTATCCATCGAGCGGGAATTAGAGTGGAGATAAAGAAAGTCATGTTGTTAAGTTCTATGTCCTTGTTGCAGGTATGCAGCGTATTGAAGTTACGTGTGCGAAATGTGGGGCACATCTGGGGCACTTGTTTAATGATGGGCCAGTCCCGACGGGGCATCGTTACTGCATAAATTCTGCTGCACTCAATTTTGAAAAGAAACAAACTGACAAAATTAAATTGAAATCAGAATTGTGAAATAATTAGTAAAATAAACTTTACATAAACAGTGTTTTAGTTGCTCAATATTTCTTCATTTTCATGGAATTGTCACTGTATTAATTAAAGAAAACACATTTTTTAATGTTTTTTTAAAAAAAATCATAATTAAGTTCACGAATGTCTATAATTCGGTGACTAAATAACATGATGTTTAACTTTTAAAATCAGACTAAATGTGGGGCATCCATAGCAGAGTGGTTAAGGTCATTGACTTCAAATCACTTGTTCCTCACTGCTTTGAATTGCCATGGACGAATTCTTTCTTGTAAGGAAGCCATCCAGTTAGTTTAGAGAATGTTGGTGGTTCTACACAGGTGCCTGTTTGCACTTGAAATAATGCACGTATGGGCACTCCTGAGGTCTTCCTCCACCAGTAAAGCTAGAAAGTCGCCATATGACCTTTATTGTGTTGGTTCTACGTTGAATCCAATCAAACAAACAAAACTGCCTTTTCAATTTATTGATAATTAAAGATTGAAATTACCAAAATTTTAAGATTTCATAATTAGAATTTAGCTTTGACAACTGTTAGTGATACAGCTTCTCTCAAATTAAATAAAGTGTTTCCTAGTCTAAGTCCACATTAATGAAATAAATTGTTTCTGTGGCAGTGCGGCTCTGTCTGTGGTTATGCGGGCCACTAAATTCATTTAAAGCAGCATGCCTCCATATAGATTAAGTAACTGATTCTAAAATAAAATGCTACAAGAATTTAAGAAACATGAATATTCCAATATTTACTCTTAATTATACCAGTTTCTGTGTGAAATAACAAATTGAGCGGCTGTTTATGTCCTTTTTCACCATATTTGATACAGAATCAGTTTACTTGTTTGTATGCTTCAGACTTGTATTAAACCGTAACCAGCTGAATATGTGAAATGGATTCACCCAGCTTTTGACATTGGATCAGTCCATTCAAAAGGTCAGGGGTTTTGATATCAAAATACAAAAATTGAGCTATCAACCAGTATAGATCCTGGTCAGACTACAAAAATCAACATCTTAGTGCAGTAACTGGCTTAACTCCTATTAAGTTATTTAAGGAGTTACAAGATACTGCACAAAAGTGACAAAATGTTTAGGCTGACTGGCTAAGTTTTTGATGCTAATCCATCAGTTCCTGCAGGTTGATGGTTAATTCAGACCAAGCCAGTAAACACTTGTAACATATGGCAGAAATATTTGTATAGAATATAGGTTTAATTTTCTTTAATCATGTTGTTTATAAGATGTATGGCCTTCAAGCAGATTGTCAAAAAAAATTTTTAACAGCAACAAAAACTTAAACTCTGTGTTTCAACATTTGCAGATCCTAGCTCTTCCCTTACTGAGCAAAATTTCCGGGTCTTATGAAATTCTTCGTAGTAAGGTGTAAAAAACAAATTGTTTCTTTTACTATTTTGTAGGAGCGAAACGAGTAGAAGTAAAATGTGCAGACTGCATGGCACATCTCGGTCACTTGTTTGACGATGGACCGAAACCGACCGGTGTACGTTTCTGTGTAAACTCAGCTTCCTTAGACTTCAAGAAAGAGACAACTGTATGACGAAGGTCGTGATGCTGTCAATGAGATTTGTTTGAATATCATAACATTACTGCTGAATATTACAATATTGCCATGGTAACACACACTGTTGTTACTACAACAAAAAACATTTATAACATTGTTTATTCATATCATATATGGATCAAAGATGAACTATTTTAGTGTTGCCTATGTTGCTAATCTATTTTGACACTGTATTTTGAAAATTATTGTCAGAAGTATTTAGTTAGGGGTTTAAATAGGTACGGTCGGTTAAAAACTGGTTAGAAAGTTCAATAATCGATATCCGAGGATATTTTATAAGAAAGAGCTAAAAGAGTTTTTATTTGATTTTAAACATTACCTTAGTTTTTTTCACAAGGTATGACATTTTGTTGTATTTTAGTTGAAGGCCACAACTTTCATGTACTTTTTCCGGTTGAATGCTTACTGATTATGTACGGTGCTAAAGAAAATATTTATTTAGAGGATATTTGTTTGTTTGCATGTAAGATTGACATATATTTCACTGAGTAAACACCAGATGCAATATTTTCACGAGTGAAAATATAATAGCTGGTGTTCACAAATGAAATATATTTCAATCTTATATGTAAAACAAATAAACATTTTTTGATTTTATGCTTTTTTTAAGTGATTTTAAGTATTTTTAATTTATACTGATTTTACCCCGTAACGCTGTGCATTCTCCTTTATGATGTCATCACATCATGACATCACATCATCAATTTTGAAATATAGTTCTATTAAATTTCTCTAATTTTGTTACTTTTTTAACATGATGTATGATGACATCCACTTTCTTCTCCCACAGAAGCAAAATTTACGTATGACGGCATTTATTTTTGTCTGTTATTCCATTTAGTTATGATATTCCTTTCATCCGCATTCAGATATAGTTCAGCTACAGTGAAAATTATATTTTATAAATTTCACTAGTGGTTTATCAGAATATAATCATCTGATGTATTATAGTAAAACACTATAAAGCATGAAATAAATATAAATATCATCACCGAGTACAAAAAAATATGAACAAAATGCCATATCTTGTCATAAAGAAAAAAAGATAATGTTGAAAATTAAATGATCAGTTAAACGTTTAGAATGGTTGTTAGGTTGCCATGTAAATGGTTATTTTTTCACTAACCGTTACACCCTCAGTTTTTGCAATTTTAGCTGTCTGCATTCAATATTTGAGCTGCGTCACGACAAAACCAACATAGTGGTTTTGCGACCAGCATGGAACCAGACCAGCCTGCGCATCCGTGCAGTCTGATCAGGATCCATGCTGTTCGCTTACCAACCCTATCACAAGTAGAGAAACTGATAGCGAACAGCATGGATCCGGATCAGACTGCGCGGATGCAAACCCATTATGTTGGTTTTGTCGTGACGTGGCTCATTTATTAAACAGCTGTTGCCATTGGCTAAAGTGAAGTTAATGATTTTTGTTATAACCACCAATAAAATTTAGTGTTTGAAATTATTTTTTGTCCAGTAGGATTGCAGTATTTCAAATGAATTGTAACACATTACCTGTGGTTAATCGGCAAACTGTTAATCAGTCTAGTAAACCGACTGTTTGTAAAAATAATTTAAAACACTAAGTTAAAATTAATGTTATGAACCTTATCATATCATTGTGTTAATGTAACACTTATACTTTTATTTGTCAAATGCTTCAATGTAATAATTAAGTTTATCGTTAAACATTATTTAATTGATCTTTAATGTTGTTAATGTTGGTTATTTTGTTTCTTTATCATTTTTGGGGTAGAGTCGGGGTGTGGGGAGGGATGTTGGGTTGGGGGGCTTGTGCAATATATTCAAACAAATCTCATTTATTTGGCAACATGTTTTGTGTAACAATTAGTCATTTTTGTACTTGCCTTACTGTTTGTAGTACATACAGGATGCTTCTGTGTAGTCAAATACATGTACGTCTGCTGCCAGCAATGTGTCAGTGCAGCATTTAGTTCCCAGTTTGTTCTTCCATTATGTCACATACGCTTACCATTCTCATAGCACTTCCATTATTGACTGTTTATTTTATATATACCATACAGTGCAACCTGTACAAAGCAACACCCTTATGAAGACAGAGATTTTGGTTTGTTGTCAGGAGGTGTTGCTATGGAGACATTGAATTAAGGAAGGAATTGTTACTGTTATTGTACATAGGCCAGTTCTGTACAGAGGGCTGCTCTACTGAGGTTGCACCTTTTCTTCCATGAAATTCTACTCTTGGGTAGAGTTTCAAGTCATTTGGGTCAAGGTCCTATAATCTAAAAATAGGATTTTCAATTTTAAAATTAGGTAATTGATGTAGTATTGCAAAAGCAATATCAGGTGGAATAATTTGGTTTATAGGAAGGCTTGTGCACCTATAATATTGTATTGAACAGTTATATTAATATTAAATAAGCAGTGATTTTTTTTAACATTTTTTCTGGACATTTAATATATAAGAATAGTTTAAGAACTCAGATGGGATAGTGTTAAGAAAGGCACTCCATGTAGTTAGTCTGTCCATATAGTCCAGAATTAGTACATACTGTATTGTCTCTATTTAATGCCCAGGGGGTGGGGGGCATTTCATTATGATCTAATTAGTGGGGAGGGGCGTTAATTGGAAACAATACGATAATTAGCAAGTACATAGTGCTCCAATAACTTACAAGAAGAAATCCAAACACCTATACATGTATTTTTACTCTCTAAATCTAAAAATCAAAGTTGTTATGTTTGCAATATATGTTAATCAGTGCTTTTCTTTTTTATAAACTATCAACTTTTTGTTTGTTAATATGTAGAATTTTATGAAATTTCATATCAAACAGGGCATTTTAATGTGTCATTACCAGAACATTTGACTAGAATTTCATGATGATGTTGATCACAATATCCGAGAGATTTTATTGTATATTTTAATGTTAGTTTGCCTTTGATATAAGTTTACTTATATACTTATAGTTTACATTATATATTGTCTGTTTTCTATTTTGTGTTATTGATATTTTATATTATATATACACTGTGCAGGTAGATGTATATAACTTATTGTGTGTAGCAATATCGTAAGCTACTTAGTCTTCTTTTACAATCCTTCATTATATATCAGTTTGTTGGGAAGATCACCCGTTTTCTCAAAGAATAAAATTTTAATGCACATGTCATTTGATACCCCAGCACTCATTTCTCGTGGCGTAGTACATGCGATATACATGGAAAATTAGTTAAGATTTTACTCTTTGTCTGTCCGGCACTGCTGTACCAAAAAAAAAAAAGGAGGGGGGGGGTGGGGTCATTTGTCAAACTTCCATTGCAGGGACACTTCCCAGGGATTTTTTTTCTTGGGAATGTCCCTGCAGAGTGAGGCCTAATTATTTTTTATGGATTTGATTATCAATATATCATTATATCTGTTATTCACAAGGGGTGAGAGGCTGGAGTAACAATAACTAATATTAGGATCCTATTTGATAATATAGAATCCCTATGTATTTTATGCTCATAGCTTAAAAATATCATAGCTTGAAAATTATTTTAAAATGACAAAATTTTGTGAAGTTTCATAGCAAGTTTTTATCAGGAAAATCAATAATGCTTAACTAATAATGCTTTTAACGTTTAATCTAAATTTTTGATCTTTATCACAAAATTGATACTGGTACTTTATAATTATGATCTAAATAATTTTATACATGTAATTTATATTTTTTTTAATGTTTTTGATTTAAATGTCTGCCTACTGAATCTGTTTTCCTTGCCATCATTTGTGTTTTTTTCTAAACCTTTTACCATGGAATTTGTTAACGGATTTTTTTTAAATATTTTGAATTAATTAGGGGTTTTTTTATAAGAAGATTCTGCGCAAAACAGATACATCGGGTGGCCACATTTTCCGGGGCGGGCCTCCCTTAAGTTGGGGGCAAAAAGGCAAAAACTTTTTAATTCAGAAGTAAAGGGGTGTTTTTTGGGTTGATAACAGTCATTAGTAAAATAAAAATTAATTTATTAAATACTTAAATTTTAAAAGGGTTCCCATTTTTTGAAAAATGTTCATTTTTTTTCATTTAAATATCTTAGTATTGCAAAATACTTTTTATAACTTCTTTACTACATTCTATTTAGTTTTGCTGTTTTTTGGGGTTTTTTTTACCCGTATTAACCTGGCTTTAAAAAGTGAGAACTTCTCTTAAAGCTTAGTTTATTGCAATTAACCCCTTTCCCAAGTTTTTCGCTTGTACTGACATATTTAATTATTTTTTTTTCTTTTAAAAATTAAAATTTGCTCAATAATTTTCCCCTTGGAAAAGAACCCTGCCAGTTTATTTTTTTTAATGACTGTTTTCATAATTTATCATTATGTTAATATATCTTTTGATATGTATGTCAGTTGTCTTTATGTACATGTAACTTTCTATGAATTCATGACAATTTTAGCTGCCTCATGTTTTTCTTTTGTTTCTTTTTTATTTGTAATTGAATGATTCTGTTTATTTATCAATAATTTTTTATTGGATGATAAAATTTTATTTACCAAGATACAATGTAATTATGTATGATTAAAGTTTTGAACAATAAATAAGTCGATAATCATTCAATTAATGTTTTGTTAAAGCAAATATGATTATAAAAGAAAGGTATTTTGAGTGACACATTAATTTGAAAGAGAAACAAATGTTTACTCTATCTTGGCATATGAACCTTTCTTTTAAAAAAATCATCTGAATATTTCATTCTTGCCTGAGTACAAATTTTCAAACATTTTTCTAAATTCAGGATATCCAGTTTTTCTGACATTTTGATCTTGCATATATGCAAGTGTTTATCATGAATATTTGATTCAGAGATTTGACCAAAAAAATGTTGAAATTTGCAATTGAACAAACTTAAAATATGTTGTTTTATTCTTCATTAGTTTCCAACTGGCACAATACTTGTTAGTTTTATGAATTTGTGCACACAGACATTAGTTATACCAAAAATATAAAATAAGTATTTATGTGTTTATATAATGCATGACATGGTTGATAAGTTACAGGTATAAATTTAACATATGTGTAATGGTTGATAAGTTACAGGTATAAATTTAACATATGTGTAATGTTTGATAAGTTACAGGTATAAATTTAACATATGTGTAATGGTTGATAAGTTACAGGTATAAATTTAACATATGTGTAATGTTTAATAAGTTACAGGTATAAATTTAACATATGTGTAAAGTTTGATAAGTTATAGGTACATGTATGTATTTTACATACATGTTATCTCAACTTTATTTATAGCATGATATTTGTCATTTATAGATTACTCAACCACAATGAACATATATGCGAGCCACTGTGTTTATATATTTTTTACAGTGGAAACACCTCGTGTAAGGAGGCAAGAACAGCCTCAGGTTTATGATGATAGTATCTGAAATTAGTTGATATTTACCATTTTATTTCGATACACCATCCTTAAATGATAAGCTATTGACAATGAAATAAAAACTCAGGTTATTTTTATAAGTAATTAGATTGCTTGATTATTTGGTACACATTGCACAGAATGATTAAAGATGGGAAGCCTCAGTCTTTTGTCATGAAAGCTGAAAAGGTACCATATTAACTTTATGGTTGGCGTGTATAAAAACCAAATTGAAAATAGGTATATAAGACATTATAGTAAAATAAGCATTAAAATGATGTTAATCATTCAGTTATTTTTTCACTTCGCAACCTTGAAATAGAAATTACATAGAAGTGATCAAGTTGTATGATTTTGTATGAACTTTTGTTTAATCCCGCTCCACATTTGAAACAGTCTTTGTGACATATGCTTTCATTTTGTGTAAAAGTTTATTTTATAAAGTACATATCCTACAGAAATGTCTAGTTTTTACTGCTATAAGATATAATTGAACATAATTATAATTTCAGATACCAAATACTTACATATATAATCACACTTTCATTTTTTATAAGAAAAGAACCCCTGAACATCTCTACTTGATACTTTCCTGCAATAAGCCCTGCTTGATTATATAGACTAATATATGTAATCTGCTTGATTAATATATAGTGAGAAAATAATTTAATGTGAGGCTTTTATAATCATTTCTAGTTATTATTCTAGTGCAATTAGTATTATAATGTGATACATTAATATCATACAAACTGTTTTATCAGCACTATGTATTGTCACCTTAGTGCAATAATGTCGTTAACTCCTATTGAATGTAGAAGGACTTAATCCATTTCTGCACTAAGGCAACGATTATTATGTGTAGTGTGTCCATTATTCTTTACCATTGATCATCAAATTTTATTATTACATGTATTATTGATATTTATCAACACGTTGGTAGACAAGGCTTTAATTACTGTTTAGCTCACCTGTCACAAAGTGACAGGGTGAGCTTTTGTGATCGCTTTTCGTCCGGCGTCCAGCTGTCGTCCGTCCGTCCGTAAACTTTTACTTTAAATGACATCTCCTCATAAACCACTAAGCCAATTTCATCCAAACTTCACAGGAATGTTCCTTTGGTGGTCACCTTTAAAAATTGTTCAAAGAATTTAATTCTATGCAGAACTCTGGTTGCCATGGCAACCGAAAGAAAAAACTTTAAATATCTTCTTTAAAAAAACCCTAAGAGCTAGAGCTTAGATATTTGGCATGAAACATCTTCTAGTGAGTGTCTACCAAGTTTGTTCAAATAAAAGCCCTGGGGTCAAAATTGGCCCCGCCCCAGGGGGTCATTGATTTTCCCTATATGCACATAGTAAAAACTTAAAAAATCTTCTTTTAAAGAACTCAAAGAGCTAGACCTAAGATATTAAGCATGAAACATGTTCTAATGGGTGTCTACCAAGTTTGTTCAAATAAAAGCCCTGGGGTCAAAATTGGCCCCGCCCCAGGGGGTCATTGATTTTCCTAATATGTATATAGCAAAAACTTAAAAAATCTTCTTTGAAAAACCCCAAATAGCTACAGTTTAGATATTAAGCATGAAACATTTTCTTGTGAGTGTCTACAAAGTTTGTTCAAATAAAAGCCCTGGGGTCAAAATTGGCCCCACCCCGGGGGTCATTGATCTTCCTTATATGTGTATAGCAAAAACTTAAAACTCTTCTTTGAAAAAAACGAAATAGCAAGAGTTAACATATTAAGCATGAAACAACTTCTAGTTAGTGTCTACAAAGTTTGTTCAAATAAAAGCCCTGGGGTCAAAACTGGCATCGCCCTAGTGGTGTCATTGTTTTTAACTATATGTGTATAGTAAAAACTTTAAAAAATCTTCTTTGAAAAAACCCAATGAGCTCAGAGCTTAGATGTTTAGCATGAAACATCTTCTTATGAGTGTCTACCAAGTTTGTTCAAATAAAAGCCCTTGGACTAAAATTGGCCCTGCCAGGGGGGGGAGGCCTATATACAGGTGAGCGACCTCAGGGCCATCATGGCCCTCTTGTTTTCACTTGGCCTAGGTGATGACTTCATAGTGAGACTTTAATGACTTCTTAATTGAATGATATTCTATTGAATGTAAACTATATTGATTATTGAATGTATTCTAGGCTTAATGAGGGTCCATCGGCCATTTTAGGCACTGAGAGTACGGTGCCCCTTTTTGAATGATTTACCACCAAAGCCTTAATGTACTTTTAACCTATTATTTTGAAGAGGAAAGGCAGTAAGGCACTGACCACTTTACGGAGATTTTGATGAACAAATCAATTATGTTAATTGTCTATGATTATTTATTTATTAAAAAATTACGTCTGTTTACTATGATTATGTAAATTAAATTGCATGAGTTTCTTTGCATATTGTAATAAATATGTGAAATAATGTACTGACTTTATTTTCTTTTATGCTTTTACACATCTATAACATAGACTTACTTAACGGTGTTTAAATTAATAAATAATGTAAGGATATATTATGTTCCTGGTTTCAAACAATACATAATCATTAAAATAACATGATTTGGCACTAACTCAAGTTAGGTTCAATAAATTATTAAAATGAACTACTACACGGACGAGCATATCTTTAAGATATACATGTATGTATATTTCTTTGTTTAGACTAACAAGCGTCGCATGCAATAACTACGCTGTCCCGTTAGGGCCATCGCGACACACAATCAAACAACGAAAATACGACGGTGAAAAGTCGAAATAAGGAAAACACGATTGTGTAAAACAAGATATAATTTCGACTTTTTACCATCGTCCTTTCGACTTTTCGTCATTTAGGTTTCGACTTTTCACCATCGTTCTATCGACTTTTCGTCATTGTGGTTTCGACTATTTACCATCGTACATTAGAGTTTTCACCCCCATATTTTCGACTTTCTGTTAAGCATGCGCACTGAATGACAATGTGTAGAGATGTCACCGGTAGTCGTTTAAAAAAGTAAAACGCACATACATGTATGTACTTCATGACATCATGCTCGAAAGACATAATTGGTAATTGTTTTCTTGGTAAAAAGTCGAAACAATGATGATGAAAAGTCGAGAGTTCAATGTTGTAAAAGGCGAAATAAAGAAAACATGAAAGTGCGATGCTGAAAACACTAAATTATATCGAATACTCACCATCGTGATTTCACTATCGTACTTTCGACTTTTTATCGTCGTATTTTCGACTTTCCACGGTCGTGGTTTCGTTATTTCCACTTTTCGTCATCGTATTTTTGTGTTTTCTTTGTTTCGAGTTATGTGTGTCGCAATGGCTCTAACGTGACACCGTATATAACTGTACCTTTATAAAGGAAGTTAAAATGAATTACTTTTATTCTTACTTTTTAGCTCACTAGAGCACAACGTACTTAAGAGAAGCTATATTGTGATCACCTTGTGTCTGTAGTGCGTCGTTAACTTTAACAACTTCTCCAAAGAATAATTAAAACTATACAGGAATGATTCTTAGATGATCGTCTAATGAAATTGCTCTGCTGAACAAGATGACCACAAGAAAAAAAATGAGAAAAACCTTTCAATG